AATGAATTCTACTATAATAAATAATTTTGTTATCCTTTTTGTTATAAATTTGGGTAAAGAAATGTATTCTAGATATTTAAAAATATTGGTATACTGATTGGGATTTTTAATGCGTAAATGATAGCAAACAAGATAGTATAAATAATTGCTTTTTGATATAAATTTGAGCAGAAGATTGTATTCTAGATATACATAAAATGATATTACTATACAAGAATAACGACGCAACCACAAATTTATCATCATTCGAGTGATGACACAAAAGCAAATTTATACCCTACTATGAAAAATGATATCCTTTTTAATATAAATTTGGGTAAATAAATGTGTTCTAGATAATTTTTATTAATTTGACGACGCAAAAGCAAAATTATATGCAAGATTGATATCGGTAACAAAAAGTGTCCTAGAACTTCTAAAATGTCTCTACTCTAGCGACAATGGTACCAAATATGACTCGTAATGATGGCTAAATTTAATCTAGAAGAAAGAAAAAAGCATGTTAGTTTAGTTCAAAACAAAGAGAAACAAGAAAAAAATGAACCACGAAAAAGTGAAGAAATGAAAAAAAAAAATAAGAAACGAAAAAATAGAAAAAAAAAAGAAACTAAAAAAGAAATGAGTGAAAAGAAAGAAATGAAAAAAAGGCAAAGAAAAAAAGAAATGAAATAAAGAAGTGAAAAAAGGAAGAAAAAAAAAAAGAAACTAAAAAAAGAAATAAGCAAAAAGAAAGAAAAGAAAATGAAAAAAATAAGAAACGAAAAAAAAGAAATGAAAAAAGAAGCGAAAAAAAGAAAGAAAAAATAAGAAACTAAAAAAAGAAATGAGCGAAAAAAAGTAAATGATAAAAAAGGAAAGAAACGAAAAAAATGAAAAACAGATAAAAAAAAAAAGTAAACAAAAAAAAAGTGAAAAAAAAGAAACAAATAACAAAGTAAAAAAAAGAAAATCGAAAAAAAAGTAAAAAAAAAGAAGCAAAAAGAATAATATGCGAAAGCAGCAAAGCGAAAAGCAGCAAAGCAAAAAGCAACAAAGCGAAAAGCAACAAAGCGAAAAGCAGCAAAGCAAAAAGCAGCAAAGTGAAAACAGCAAAATGAAAGCAGCAAAATGAAAGCAGCAAAATGAAAGCAGCAAAGCAAAAAGCAGCAAAGCAAAGACAACAAAACGAAAATGAAAGCAGCAAAAGCAACAAAAGCAAAAATGAAGCAAAACAAATCGGCAAAAAAAATAACGATTATCAAAATAATGATTGCTAATTTTATTGGTTGATCATATAGGGGGTGCATAACCACACAGGTACACAGAAAATATTTTCCTTTTTTTAATTATATAGTTCTTGATGGATAGATGTCTAAATATGAAGAATCTATTAATAGCTATATTGTAACAATAATGGAGCGAAGAGAATATTTGATTGCACTTAAAAATTATTCTTCAGAATCACATACTGGCAATTTTTTGGCCACAAAAATTTTAAATATTATTGAACAAATCAGGCCAAAAAAATTCTCAGCAGTTGTTACTGATTCAGCTTCAAATTGCAGAGTTGCGAGAGCGAAAATACAACAAAAATACTCCTATATCTTGAATCTCCGCTGTATTGTTCATGCTATCAATTTGATAGCTATAGATCTATTAAAGATCATTGAAATAAAAGAATTTATTAGCCAGTGTAGAAAGTTAATAAGATTTTTTAATAAATCCCTTCAAAAATTAGCATTACTACGACAAGGATTATTTAATATAAAAATCAAGTCTGAGAGTCTAGAATCTTGGTGTCCAACTCATTGGGGTTATTATACAATACTACAAACTCTATATTAGTAGCACGGCCTGTATTTGACTGGGTATGTAGTTTTTTTTTAAAAAAAACTATTGAATTAGTATATACAAGAAGGTTAGATATTATAGTACACCTAAAAGTACTAATAGTAAAAATCTTTAGAAAAATATACTATTTCTAAAATTCATTAAAATGAATTAATATTTGACTTAGTATCTATTGATAAGCTAAAAAAAATTGAAAATTTTTAAAAAAACTTGCTAATCAGAACTTTCAAAAGCTATTTGAAAGCTATTATATTTTTTGATTAGAGGTATTATAGCATACTATATGTATATTAATATTTATACGTATATATTATATGTATTATAGTTTATTAATTTTATACGTATATTTTGTTTTGCTAATCTCTTTCCTGAAATTGCTCAAATAGGAAAAAAGAAAAAATTATCGTAATAATTACCCATAGTATCTAACTTTTCCCCAAGTTTTGATTAGAATAGATTAATTTTATATTATTTAATTTATTTTCAGTAAAATGAATCGAATGATACTAAATTATTCGACTGAATAGTAGATCGCAAGATATTATCCAAAACATGAGTATAGCATAATACCTCTGCACCATAATATGAACCTGACTCTCCTTTATATATTAATAATATTAATATATAAATATACTGTATTAATTACTAATTATATATATATTATATATTTAGATACTGCTTGAGCATTCTAGCATAATTACAAATACAGAAATTTTTAGGCTATTACATGATGATGACTTCTTTACTAAATGTTGGCAAATTCGTTCTATTTAGAAACCAATAAAAATTTGCATTAATATTTTAGAAAGCCGTTTTGCATCATTATCCGATTGCTTTATTTATATAATTAAATTAGCAATTGTAATCTATCAAATTCTAGAAGTAATTTCATTTAAACCTATCACAATTTAAGTGTTTAACAAATAATATGAGGAATTTCAGAATCCATACTATTTACTATGTTATTATCTTAATCCTTTCTATTATGATATACTACACTAATTTTTTTATTTTCTATTTTATTTTATATTTTTAATTAATTCTTTTTTTTTTTAATTATTTTTTTAATTTAAATTTTTTTAATTTTTTTAGAAACGGAACTTAAAAATAAAGCATTTTGTGATGTGACTATAACTGCCTCTACTTTATATAGAAATTTGATGTATACTGAACAAGAGTGCGCAGAATTAATCTCTAAGTTTTGTTATTTTGATGCAAGAAAAAGACTATACAACTTACCATATATCCAAGGTCTTGATATATCAATATTATAGTGAAGATCTATAAAAACCTATCCCCCGCATCTTTCAGAACTTGCATTAAAGCTGTTTAGTATCTTATCTTTCCAAGCTGGCTGCGAGCGAAACTTCTCAGTTCTTAAATAGTTTATTGACAAAAATATTTGCGCCTTGATACCAAAAAGCTTGAGGAAATAGCAAAGATCTGTTCATATTATATGACTAACATACGAAAGGAACTATCTCATTTTGAGGTTAAATTATCTAAATTTGAATTGTATAATATGATAAATCTCTCATCAATAAATAGTTTTATAGAAGATGAGGAGAAAGCTAATAAAAGTGTTAATATATTTAATTGCACTTCAAATAGTTCAGTTCGTACTAACTTGATTTTGGAAGATATAGTAAATTTACAAGATCCAATCTTTCAAGAAAGAGATATTCTATACGAAACTTCAAATGATAATCTAAATAATAATATTGAAAACAGCATCAACATAGATTTAAATCCTGAAGAACTCATTGATACTATTTTGAACAATGAATTAGATTATTAGGTATGTTTTTTTTGGTATATTAATATATTCAAATTTTTATTGTTTTTAATAATTGAACTTTTATAAATAGAAGTATAAAGAATTACTCGCATATTAATGAATACGTATATACTGTCAACTATGGATATAATGAAAATCTGGGCTAACAAAAAAATTCTGGTATATAGCATATTCGTTATATCTATATAACGGTATTAGGTTAGATTCCGTTATATAAATATTTATATATAAAATAAT